CCCACCTACACTCACCTTTACTGGCTCCATCCCCGCCTCCTTGACCTGTCTGTCTCCTTTCCACCTATCTGCTCCTTTATCCACCTCCCACCCTCTCTCTATTTATTTCAGAGTCCCCTTCCCCTTCCCCATTTCTGAAGAAGGGTCCAGACCCGAAACGTCAGCCTTCCTGCTCCTCTGATGCTGCCTGGCCTGCTGTGTTTATCCAGCCCTACTCCTTGTTATCTCAGATTCTCCAGCATCGGCGGTTCCTACTATCTATCTAGTTCCTACTAGCATTTCATTGAGCTATTTCAGGTGCTGAAATCAGTGCGATACTTGATTAGCATTACTTGCAGGATTTGCTCTCTGATGGAGTTTTCCTCAATGTCAGTTTGCCTTCTGCCATTCTTTTTTCAGCAAAGACAGACATCACATCATGTTCCTTTGCATGAAATGTTAGGCAACTTCGCAAATAAGGTCGTATGGTAATTTAAAAGCTGCATCTATGGTTTCAGTCAGGGCATACTGTTTACTTGAAAAGGCAAATCAGAATTGTTCCAGTGGAGATGTGGAGGGGCCATTTAACTTAATAAATCACCTCAATGCTCGACAGAAGCAAAATAAAACAATAATGCACTAGACAGTTGACCGAATACCTGTTTGAAAAGGTAGATTGTAGAATCCCTACAGTGTGGAAGCAGACTATTCGGCTATTGCGTCTACACCAACCCACCAAAGAGCATCCCACCCTATCCCTGTAACCCTGCATTTCCAATAGCTAACTCACCTATAGCCTGCACGTCCCTAAACACTGTGGGCAATTTAGCATGGCCAATCCACCTAAACTGCACATCTTTGGACTGTGCGAGGAAACTGGAGCACCCACTGGAAATCCACACAGACACGGGGAGGATGTGCAAACTCCACACAGACAGTCCCCCGAGGGTGGAGTTGAACCCAGGTTCCCAGTTATGTGAATCATATATGGCCTTAAAAGAGGCAGATTGTCGTCAATGTCCAGGTGCACAGTTTAAGGATTGAGTCCTCTGTCCTCAAGTCCATGTAGGGTTGAGGAAGTTCTGGGAGGGAACAGAAGAAGGATTAGATCAGGTTTGGGAGGCCAAATGTACCTCATGGGACCTAGAGTTGGTCACATCCAGAAGTATGGCCTCTGTCCTGTCTGGAGATTGTTTGTTTGTTTGTTTGTTTGTTTGTTTGTTTCTTAATCCACAGAGACTTCTAGTGAGCCATCTTGATTTTAAAACTTTTATAACGTAGCATTTAAGATGTACTTTTTAAGGATTTATAATCTTGTCATGCTAGTACTTGGCAAAGTACTATTGTCTAAACATTATCACTGACTTATAATTTAAATCACAAAACAGACATTTTCTCTTTTATTTTAGCACAAACTTCACAGATATATATCGCTTTTTCCAGTAGACATTCACTTCACCTGGAACAAATCCAAGGCGATTCTGAACTCCCAAGAAATTATTTCTGTTGTTTTCCTTTCCCAGCCTGGGGACTTTTACTCTCTGAACTGTCTTTCACAGTGACAATTTTCTTTGGAAAATCTTCCTCTGGTGCAAGCTAGGCAAATCTGCTCGCTTCATTTTAACGCCTCATGAATTCAAGTCTTCAAACTAGCATTTTTGTGCAAACTATAGGGCTTTTCTGACTGTAATTGTTCTCTCACACCTAGGTCCTGGCAGACTAAGTTTGTCTGTAAGTTTTCAGGCACATTTTGTACCTGTAAACCACCTGAAGTTCTCCAACGGGCGGCATGGTGGCTCAGTGGTTAGCACTGCAGCCTCACAGCGTCAGGGACCCGGGTTCAATTCTACCCTCGGGCAACTGTCTGTGTGGAGTTTGCACATTCACTCCGTGTCTGGGTTTCCTCCCGGTGCTCCGGTTTCCTCCCACAGTCCAAAGATGTGTAGGCTAGGTGGATTGGCCATGCTAAATTGACCGTAGTGTTCAGGGGTGTGTAGATTAGGGGGATGGGTCTGGGTGGGATGCTCTGAGGGTCGGTGTGCACTTGTTGGGCCGAAGGGCCTGTTTCCACGTAGGGATTCTATGATCTATGAACATTTTTCTGGTATTTTAGAGACTCTCAGTCTATCCACAGCTAGCTGATGTCAAGTTGCCATTAAACAGATCATATAACTGCCTTCAGTTTACCTTCATTTAGTGTGTGTGTGTGTGTGTGTGTGTGTGTGTCTCTTCCTCAGTGCAATATTGTGGGTGTGAGGTGAATTGTCCAGTAGCCCCATGGTCTGAAACAAAACAGAAATTGCCAGTCAGAAGGCATGGCAGCATCTGTGGAGAGGAAGCTGAATTAACGATAGTGTAAGGTTATTGCAGGACAGTTGTGAAGAAGGGTCACTGGACCCAAAACATTCGCTCTGCTTTCCCTCCACAAACACTGCTGGACCTGATGAGTATTTCCAGCAATTTTGGTTTTTTGTTTGATTTCCAGCATCCACAGTCTAGGTCCACGGTCTACATCAATGGTGAAGAGCCATTGCATTTGTGATGTTTGAGTTTGGTGGAATACCAACATGGCGATGAAATGCTTTCAAGTTTGAACAGTCTTCATAGAATCTTGGAGACAGGCCTTTGGTCCAACGCACTGTGTTCAGTGCATTATCCAATTAGTCCCACTCCCCTTTTCTCTTTCCGCATAGCCCTGCTAATTTTCCCTTTTCAAATATTTATTGAACCCATCTTTTGAAAATTATTATTGATTCATCTTCCACCACATAGCACAACTCACTGGAGAAAGGAAAATTTTCCTCATCTCATCCCAGTTTCTTTGCCAATTGGCTATCATCACTGACCTTCCTGCCTCATTGCTCTGTCAAAAAGTATCATATTGTTGAACATTTCCCCTTAAGTCTTTTCTGTTCTAACATTTTTTCCTGTTTTCCCACAAAACTGGAGGCCCTCATTCTAGGTACCTTTCAGGTAAATCCTCTGTTTACATCTTTTTAAAAATATATGTTGTGCAGAATTGGACACAACACTCCAGTTGTCCAACATGTGATTTTAAAGAGGCTTAGGATAACGTCTACTCCATAATCAGTTTATTTCCTTTCTTCAGCATCCTGCAAGGTGACCACTATTTGGCAACCCTGCGCTGTTCACTTTTTGTTTTATTCATTCATGGGATGTGGTTGATGGTCATGTATTACCCATCCTAATTGTTCAGTTGGTTGTTAAGAGTCAGCCACATTGTTATGGGTCTGACTAAGTAATTATGGCAGATTTCCTTCTCTGAAGAATTTCATTTTAAAAAACCCATCTAGTTTACTACAATCAGCAGTGGTTACCTGGCTCCATTAGATTAGCTTTTTATTCCTTATTTTTATTGAATTTATATTTCGTCATCTGCCATGGTGAGATTTAAACCAATGTCCCCAGAGCATTACTAGTTTACTACGTAGACCACTGGTCCAGTGACACAAGCACAACGTCACTGCCCCTCCAATGATTAGCTAATCATGTGACCCTTCCCCAACACTGACTGTGTTTCTCAACCCTCCTTTCCTCCTCATTGCTCGGATATTGGAACATATGAACAGTACATGGCTGTTTAGCTCCATGTGTCAAATCTGTCAGTCAATCATGGTTAATATCTACAGGCAGTCCCTAAGTTGTGAATATCTAAGTTATAAATGCTCATACTAATGAACAGCATCCTATACAAGGGTGTATTAGTATTAATTTTAAAGATCTGATTTGTGAACATTTCCCTTCTACTTACAAATGGCTATTTTACATTGCCTTTATTGTGTTCTGACTTGTGTACAAATTGATTTGCGAGTGCACCCAATAACAGAACTTACGGGGAGGCAATGGGCTACTGTATTATCGCTGGACTGTGAATGTTCTGGGAGCCTGGATTTGAATCCCGCCATGGCAGATGTGGAATTTGACTTGCATTTTAAAGTCTGGAATTAAGAGTCTAATGATGACCATGAACCCATTGTCGATTGTTGAAAAAAAACATCTGATTCACTAATGCCCTTCAGGGGTATTTTTACCAGGTCTGGCCTACATGTGACTCCAGATACACAGCAATATGTTTAACTCTTAATTTCCTCTGGGAAATTAGGGATGGGCAATAAATGCTGGACTAGCCAGCAACGCCTTCACACCGTGAATGAATAAAAATAACCTGCTCACAACCTAGGGACTGCCTGTATCTCAGTTCCATTGGCCTGCTGGCCTCCCCCAATATGATGCCAAAACATGTTGAGGATTTGGTGGTCATTGTGGCCCAGTGCTCCCAGGTCACATGCTCTCTCAGCCTATGGAGCCATCATGGCTGTCGCACCATGCCAGCTCCATCAGTCTGAGGGCGTGGGTTCCCCATTGTGTTACCTGCGAACTGCAATGCTATTGGACCCTGCTGACCTCTGTGTTTTGAAACAGGTTAAACACCACCGTGGCTCCTCTGTTCTTCGCTGACCAGTTCCTGCAAATGTCGACCTCGCTGCCTTCAGTTTACATCTACGGCCTTGGGGAACACCGGGCCAGCTTCCTGCAGAGCGTCCAGTGGAACACTCTGACCTTCTGGGCCCGTGACAGTGTGCCGAGGGTACAGTATGATTTGGAACATGACAAAAACAACTTTGCGTTAGTATTAACTGAAGAAGATCTGTGTCCTATTTAAACATAGCCACCTTGTTACCCACCAGCCAGTCTACCTAGGTGGGGCAAAGCATACCAAAGCTCAATTACCCTGGGATGTCATCAAAACAGTGATAAATACCCAGGAATTATTGATTGTTTCTCGGAACCCTGCTGCAATCAATACCTGGGAGAAAAAAAAGACAAGTATTTTTGAAATCACTTTCATATCATCTAGAAAGATTATTGGAGATAGGGACTGGGGTTTGAAAGGTCTTTTGGTTGACGGTTTACATTTATCCAATGGGATAAAGAAGAATTTGTTCACCGCCTGATAGGCAGTTTCGGGTGAGCAGTGATTTGGGTTTGTGGGTGTGTTGTGTAGAGATGGGAAATCATGCTGAAATCTCCATGAATACACTCAACCAAAGTTGGCAACACCAGCATATGTTTGCCCCCAAACATTACACCTGAAATCAGGGAGGGGTTTGTGGGTAGAGAAGGCTCACAGTCAAAAACCTACCCAACCTCTGAAGGACTGTACACCTTCAAACTTGTTTGAATATGCTTCGCTATTAGCTGTATCTTCCTAACAAACGAACAACTTTTCACCAGGATATTGCCTGGTCTCGAGGGCATTGGCTGTGAGGAAAGGTTAGAAAGACTAGGACTGTTTTCATTGGAAAGAAGGTGGCTGAGAGGAGACCTGATAGAGGTCTACAAAATTGAGAGGCATGGATAGGGTGGAAAGTCAGAGGCTTTTTCAATTCCAGGCGTGCACAGGTTGAAGGTGAGGGGAGAAAGTTGAAGGGAGATGTGCGAGGGAAGTTTTTCACGAAGAGAGTGGTAGGAGCCTGGAACACACTGCCAGAAGAGGTGGTGGAAACAGACATGTTGGTTATATTTAAGAGGCATCTGGATGGTTATGTGAATAGGGACAGAATAGAGGGATCCGGACCGATAAGGGCAGAAGGTTTGGTTTTTAGATTAGTCAGGGCATGATGATTGGCACAGGCTTACAGGACTAAGGGGCCTGTTCCTGTGCTGTACTTCTCTTTTTATTCTTTTTTTAATTGGGGCTTTGATTTTACAACATTTCCAGTTTCCTGAAGTAAAGGGAGATCTACATTATAATCAAGGCCTTTCACTCTACTGGTATTCGACCAGTTGCTGTTAATTTTTTAACAAGTTAAAAATAAACATTAACATAAAACAGCCCTAATCCTCCAAGGAAGCAACCCTGCCCTGTGGATTTTGAAGGATTAATGGAATTTCTGCTTTGTGCTGCATCATTATTGGATAATTAATGGGATGTGTTAAGTCAACTCTATAAACTACACCATAACCCATTTTGTTTCCTACTTCTTTCCCCCATCCCCTGAAGGCAATGCAATGCCAAGGGTGCCAGTTTTCTCCCATACACCAGTCAAGTGCCATTCTTTATTGCTGAGGTATGAGTGCCAGTTGGCTAATTAGTAGTGTAAGCATCTCTGCTGAAACAGGAGGAGACAATTCAACTCCTACAAAGTTGTTGCGCAAATCAACCTTACCTGCCATGGCTCCATAACTCAGTGTACTGTGCATCGTGTTATTCAGCACAGGTCCAAGAGAAAGCCTGGGAGCTTTCCTGGCTCAACTACTCATCATGTAGCCTCACTGAACCATACCAGGTACAGCCAAAAAATATGATCTTAGCTGAGGTGTTGGTCAGAACATTACACTGAGGCTCCATGCTGCTGGGGCAGTGAAAGCCAGGGTGGGAAACTCACCCTCATAACACAAAACACCCTCGGGTAATAAAAAATGATCAATCTCAGTTGTGAAATTTTTAATTATCCTGCAGCCTCAGCAGCTTTTTTTTTCAAGGAGAGCGTTCCAGGCTCTCGCCCAGTGTCCACACAAATTATATTTTTCAATTTAAATCCCAGTATAGCAGAAATCCTGGATGATTTTCCCACCTGGCATTCACTGCCTAATACAGATTTTTACGAATATTTCTATTTTAAGTTCCAGGCTCCAATTAGACCCTTCAGTCTTAATTATTTAAAGGATATTTCCTCTGTGGAGATAAACGCAAAGGCTTCGATATTCAGAGAAATGGCAAGCCCAGTAATGCTTATTTTATTCATGTTCGAACCAAACTCCAAATTTCCAGACAAGGAAGTCTGATCCTGGCGTCTTGAGAGATTTGGAACATAGCTGAAACCAACAGTTTGTCTGTGGTGCAGGACACTTGGTGGGGGGGGGAGGAGAACAACAAACTACGCAGCCCTTTAACATCAGTCAGAGTGCCATGTCTGAGATTTAAATGCTCAGCAGCACAGACTCACACTTTGACAGCTGCTCTGAATGGATAAGATGTCAGGTAAATATGGGGTTAGGGTGGCAGTTGGTTAAGATGCAGGGATATCAGGCGGGTTGGCCCCCAGTTGGGTAGTGCCAGGTCAGTGAAAGGAGAGTCGTACAGTCATACAGCATGGAAACAGACCCTTTGGTCCAACTCGTTCACGCTGACCAAGTTTGCCAAACTAAACTAGACTCACTTGCCTGTGTTTGGCCCATATCCTGACAAACTTTTCCTATTTACGTTCCTGTCCAAATGTCTTTTAAATGTTGGAATTGTAATTGCATTTACTACTTCCTCTGGCAGTTCATTCCATATACGCACCATCCTCTGTGTGAAGAAGTTGCCCCTCAGGTCCCTTTTAAATCTTTCTTCTCTCACCTTAAAAATATGACCCCTGGTTTTGAACTCACCCTCTGTAGGGAAAAAGACCTTTGCTATTCATCTTATCTATGCCCCTCATGATTTTTCTAAACCTGTAGAGGTTGGGGTGGAGGTAGTAGATGTATCAGGGCTGGCAGTGGGGGAAGTGGGGATGTCAATGCTGGTGGCAGAAGCAGTGGAGGGGGAGGTAGAGACTGATCGAAAGTTCAGGGTCAGTCCCTGGAGTTCAGGCCACAGGCATGGGGACTATCAGGGCAGGCAGGTGAAGCGGTGGAATTGTGTTGAGTGCAGTGGGTCTGGGGGAGGTGTAATTGGGAGAGGGTGTACCAAGTGGCAGGGTGGGGGGAGATCAACTTAAATGGTTAACATAGGAATTAGACTATGTTTTTACTTGTCTTTTTTCATGGGTAGTTAATAGCTCAATTTAAGTGGAACCCTTTGAACTTTCCACCTTTGACAGATTCCTGTGGTGGGTTCCAGATGCGAAGGGAATTGCCCATCAGAAAATTACATTTCTCTGACAATTCCCAGGCAGACTGCTGCATCTGGGATTTTACAGGGTCCTGAGACAAAACTGCTCCAACAACTATCTTGTTGGAATATCTGGGCCAATATACTTATTTAGCTTCTCTACTATTTATCTATCACCTGTAACTTCACCTGTCTCTATCTGTAATGGAGCAATATTTGTCTTGCTAATCTCTTCCTTTTCAGTTTTATGTTGTTTCTTTGCTATTTTACATTCATATTCGGTTTACACTTTCTTTGCTGCAACCTAATATTATCCCAATCCTCAGGCTTACAAGTTTTTTAAATAACTTTATTAGCCTCCTCCCTTGATATAGTACTACCTTAATTTCCCTTGTTAGCCATGGCTGTCTCGCTTTTCCTGTTCAGTTTTTTTTTCTATTCATTTGTGGGATGTGGGTGTCGCTGGCTGGCCAGCATTTCTTGCCTGTCTCTAGTTGTCCTTGAGAAAGTGGTGGTGAGCTGCCTCTTGAACTGCTGAAGTCTACCTGCTGTGGGTTGACCCACAATGCTTTTAGGGAGGGAATTCCAGGATTTTGACCCAGCGACAGTGAAGGAACGGTGAAATATTTCCAGGTGAGAATGGTGAGTGGCTTGGAGGGGATCTTGGAGGGGTTGGTGTTCCCATATGTCTAATGCCCTTGTCCTTCCAGATGGAAGTGGTCGTGGGTTTTGGAAGGTTTCAGATCTGAGGATCTTTGGTGAATTTCTGCAGTGCATCATGTAGATCATACTCACTGCTGCTACAGAGCATCAGTGGTAGAGGGAGTGGATACTTGTGGCTGTGGTGCCAATCAAGTATGCTGCTTTGTCCTGGATGGTGTCAAGCTTCTTGAGTATTGTTGGGGCTGCACTCATCCAGGCAAGTGGGGAGTATTCCATCACACTCCTGACTTGCGCCTTGTAGATGGTGGACAGGCTTTGAGTTGTCAGTAGTTGAATTACTCGCCGCAGTATTCCTAGCTTCTGGCCTGCGCTTGTAGCCACGGTGTTTATGTGTTGGTCAACATTGAGGAGTACTGCTTCATCAGCTGAGGGAAGATAGTATGTGGTAATCAGCAGGAGGCTTCCTTGCCCATGTTTAATCTGAAGTTATGTGACGTCGTGGGGTCCATAGTCAATGTTGAGGACTCCCAGAGCAACACCCTCCCGACTGTATACCACTGTGCTGCCACCTGTGCTGGGTATGTCCTGCCAGTGGGACAGGACATATCCAGGGACAGTGATGGTGGTGTCTGGGACATTGTTTGTAAGGTATGATTTTGTGAGTTTGACTATGTCAGGCTGTTGGTTAACTAGTCTGTGAGACAGCTCTCCCAATTTTGGCACTAACCCCCAGATGTTAGTGAGGAGGACTTTGCAGGGTCGACAGGGCTGTTTCTGCCATTGTCTTTTCCGGTGCTTAGGTCGATGCCAGGTGATCCGTCTGATTTCATTTCTTTGAGACTCTGTAGCGATTGGTACAACTAAATGGCTTGCTAGGCCATTTAAGAGGGCAGTTGAGAGTCAACCACATTTTTGTGGCTCTGGAGTCACATGGAGGCCAGACCAGGTGAGGATGGCAGATTTCCTCCCCTGAAGGACATTAGTGAACCAGATGGGGTTTTTTTTCCGACAATCAGCAATGATTTCATGGTGATCAGTAGATTCTTAATTCCAGACTTTCTTTTTAATTATTGAATTCCCATACCACCCGTCTGCCATGGTGGGATTTGAACCCAGGTCCCCAGAACATTAGCTGGGTTTCTGGATTAATATTCTAGCGACAATACCACCTAGGCCATCGCCTACCCCCTCATTTGTCCTAAAAAGGTAGTTTTTTGTTTGAAAACCAAGCATTAATTCTTTAAATACTAGCCATGGCCTATTTCCAATTGACCACAGTTAACCTCCTTCTCAGGCTTTCATAATTGCCCATGTTGAGACTAAAGACCCTAATTTCTGGTTGTACAACATCTTTTTCGAATGAATTAGAAACTTCTTACATACTTTGGTCACTATTTCCTAAAGGTTCTGTCCAAGAGGATTATTAGTTATCGCTTTCTCATTCCATAATACTAAATCTAGAATAGTCTGTGCCCTAGCTGTTTCCTCAGCATATCGCTTCAGAAAACTATCTTGAACACAATCTAGGAATTCTTCCTCTACAGCATTGATGCTCATTAGATTCACCCAGTCTAGCTTGAAGTCACCCATGATTACTGGATTCCTTTTGCTACTTACATATCTGATTTCCTGATTTACAACATGCCTTACATTACCATCACTTTGAAGTGGTTTATAAACCTTTCCAACCAATTCTTGCTACCCCTTGCAGTTTTTTTGCTTCCACCCAAACAGATTCTACATCCTGTTCTTCTGAGCAGAGATCGTCTTTCACAAATACGTGTCATTTATTATCAGCACGACCATGCTGACTCTTCCTTTTTGCTTTACTCTCCAAAATGTTGAACACCATTTAATACTCAATTCCAAGTCTAAGTCACCTTACAGCCACACCTCCATAGTGGCAATTAAATCATTCTCTTTTACTTCTGCTAGTGCTTTCAATTCACTATCTTGTAAAAATGTCACCAAGCATTCAGATAAAATGGTTTTACTTCTGTCTTTTTGACACTGTTCTATAATTTGACCCTGGTTGGTTCGAAGATTTGTTTATTTTTTGCTGCTATTCCTCTTCCATTTACAGCTTTTCTACTTCCCATAATCAATTTTTGTTTTTATTCTGTCTGAATTCCCTCTTAGGTTCCCATTCCCTTGACAAACTCATTTAAACCTTTTCCAGCAGCACTAGCAAACTGCTCCATGAGGATATTAACCCATATTATGGATTTTTTTTTTTTTTTTGCTTTTTAATCCTTTAATCTTTCGTGGGGTGTGGGTATTGCTGCAAGGCCAGCATTGTTGCTCATCCCCAATTGTTTCTGAAATAAGGGGTTTGCTAGCTCGTATCTGATAGCAGTTAAGGGTCAAGCATACTGCTGCTGGTCCAGAGCCAATGTTAGCCAGTCCAGGTAGGGATGGCAGATTTCCTTCCCTAAAGTATTAGTGAACCAGATGGGTTTTTACAATAATCAAGGATAGTTAACCTGGTCCTCTGGATTACTCATCCTGTGACATTACCAGTGCACCACCATCCACCTATATTAGTGTGCAATTTATTGTTGTATTGAGATCAGTTACTCCAATGTATACCCTTGACTAACTCCACCACATTCAAACTGTTTCTAACCTTATTTCCATGAGCTGCTTGTAGCTTGTGATGTGATCCTTTATTCTAAAAACGTGCCTCTTCTTGTTCTGCAGGAGTTTGTTAATCTCTATGGGGTCCACCCCTTTTACCTGTCTCTGGAGCCCGATGGAATGTCGCATGGTGTTTTCCTCCTCAACAGCAATGCAATGGGTGAGCACAAGGGTTTCTGGGAGGAAACAAAGCATCATGGGAAAGTCAATTAATTCCATTTCTAATGGAGAGTTTCTTTTTCATCCAGCTGAATGAGCTGTTTATGGTGCGATGTTTGTTGTGAGGTATTTATGGGAATCTGCATCTCATACATTAATATTTTTCACACCATTATTATTGATTACATTGGTAATCTGGTAATTTCACAAGCTTTTTATTTTGTGTTGAATCACAGCACTGAAGCTTGAGTCTAAAATGTATCCCGCGAGTTGGGGTTGAACCCACAACCATTTGATTCGGAGAGAAAAGCATTAAATGAGTCATAGTTGATGAGTTGGATGGTTGGTTATGGTTTTGATCTTGAAGTGTTGGATATTTAGTTTGAGCTTTGGTAGTGAGATGTTGAGTATTGACTTTGTGTTTTGATGTTGAGTGTTGGATATTTGATCTGAGTCTTGGTGATATGACGCGTACTTGGGTTTTTGTGGTAAGGTTTCAGTAATGTTTGGGTTATTCATGCTTGTTTTGGCGGCATGTTTGGTTCACAAATAAGCATATACCAGTAGGAAGGTGGAGTAAGCTTCAAGGTTTGATTGTGATGCTGAAATACATTAAGGCCCTCAGCACTTCACTGTAGAAAAGTGCAGAGGCCAGAGAATAGAATGATTAAATGAGGTATTATCTCGAGCTGCTCTCTAAAACCCACTTCAGAGGGTCATGGGGAAAACAATACCATGATTAGCGTGTGTCTAGATCAGAAACTGGAAAATTCAACCATCAAACAAATGGAGGCAAGTCCTGTTCTTACATGGATTTAGGAAATTAACAAGCTACTGTACAGAGAAGTGTAGGAGAAAAGAATTGAGCATCAAAAGCATTTAATGAACAGGACTGTCATTAATAATCATTCTTCCTAATGCAGATGTGGTCCTCCAGCCTGCTCCTGCCCTGACCTGGAGAACTATTGGAGGGATCCTCGACTTCTATGTATTCATGGGCCCTGACCCCAGCTCAGTCATCCAGCAGTACCTAGAGGTCATCGGTAAGTCTGAGAACATTTAAAATTGGCTGAGTGATGGGAAACAAAGAGTCAATAGTCAATGGATATTTTCTGAGCCAGAGAAAGGTTTATAGTGGAGTTCCCAAGGGGGTCAGTATTGAGCCCCTTACTTTTCCCAATACATATTAATGATCTTGATTTTGGTGTGTAGTGAATAATTTGAAATATTGCAGATGGCACAAAGCTTGGAAGAATTTTAAACTGCATGGAGGGCAATGTAGAACTTCAGAAGGTCGTAGACAGATCAGTGGAGGGGGCTGATAGGCTGCAGATGAGCTTTAATTGAGAGAAGTGTGAGGTGATGCATTTTGGTTGGAAGATAATAAAAAGATAGTGGGGTACAATTCTAAAGGAGTGCAGGAGCAGAGGGACCTAGTGTTTATGTGCGTAGGTCACTGAAGGTGTCAGGCCAATTGGAGAAGAATTAATGAAACATAGTGTTCTCAGCTTTATTAATAGGTACATAGAGCAAGCAGGTGATGTTGAACTTGTAGAAGATACTTGTGAGACTTCAGCAGGAGTATTGTTTACAGTTCCGGACACCACCGTACAGGAAAGATGTGAATGCGTTGGAGAGAGCTCAGAAGCAATTTAGAGGAATTGTTCCAGGGATAATGAATCTTAGTTATGAGAATAGATAGAAGAAGTTGGAACTGTTTTCCTTGGAGAGAAGAAAGCTAAAAGGAGATCTGATGGAGGTTTTCAAAATCATCAGTAGGCTGAATAGAATGAAGAAACTTTCCACTCAAAAAAAGGAACAAGAACGGGGGGACATGAGTTTAAAGATTTGAAAAGGAGCAAATTTGATTACACAATGAGTAGTAAAAGTATGGAATGCACATGCTGTAAATGTGGTGGAGGCATGCTAAACTGAGACATTTAGGAGAGCTTTGGACAATTATTTGGATAGAGATTATGTGCAAGGATATAAGAAAATATATGCAGAAACGATGGACCAAATAACCTCCTTCTGCGTTATAACACTTGTGTGATTCTGTGAAGAGTAAAGGAAAAATGAGCTAATGGTCAGGTGTTCATGTTTATACATAATAGCAAATGTGTGGCATTGCTGAGTAATTGGAATGATGTGATGATATATAATGACAGGGGCTTTATACTATTAAACTCAGAATGATTCATACAACAGTTCTAGTTCAGCTGTGCTTACCTGGCCTTTCCCTTTTAAGACAACAATGTCCATTTGTTACCAAATGATTTGAGTTAATTGCTGTTGGGATGCTTGTGCAATTGCCACTTCGAGTCAGCTCTCAAAGTGAAATGACTACCATTCTCAAGCTTCTGTTGATGGGAATCCAGATGATGCTACAATTTAATAGTGAGGTATATTAACAAAGTGGAATGTAATTGTAAGCAGGGATAGTTTGTTCATAGAGCCAGTACAAAAGCAACGGGCCAAATAGTCTTATTAGTAACATTTTACAATTCTAATACCCTGGATTTGTTTGATTAGTGAAGTTATATTTGTTGCATTCTTGGAGCTGAACAAAGGTCAGAAAAAGGTAAAAATTCTGGTGGTAGGAAGTAGAAATTGTCCTAGTTATAAGCAGTGCTGTTTATAAAGTTGCAGTGCACTTTTACACCTAGGTTTTACACTTTTTAACTTTTACACTGTTTTTGACATATGTAATATAATTAGAGTCAACATGAATTTGTGTGAAGGAAAACATGTTTATAACAAACCTGTTCACGCTTTTGACGATATTCACTCATTAGATGGTTAAGGGGGAACAGGTTGATTGCAGGGTACTTTGATTTTAAAATCAAACATTTAATGCCACACAAGAGATTATTAAATACTATTAAGATGAGTGAGATGAGGAGCAATATATTATCATGGACTGAAGGTTGATAAATGAAGAGAAGGAATGAAGAGGCTATTTTCTTGTTGGCAACCTATAAGTAGTGGCATACCTTGAGAATCAATATTTGGGTCTCAGCTGTTTACAAATTATATGAAGAACATACGTGAAGGGAACTCAGTGTAATATATCAAATTGTGCTGATGTTATAAAGTTAGGTGGGAAAATAGTGGTCAGGAGAGACTGTAGAGCAGCACTAGCAGATGTTTCTGGGGCTAATTCAGGAGGAAGAGCAGAGATTTATCTGAAGTAAGAAGAAAGATACCAAGGGAAGGACAAGGTAACCATAGCTGACAAAGGAGGTCAGGGACAACATAAAAACAAAAATAAAAGCACATAATGTGGTGAAGATTAGTGGGAAGCCTTTAAAACCAGCAGAAAACAATTAGAAAAGCAATGAGGAGAGAAGATGGAATATGAGGGCAAGCTAGCTAGTAATTTAAAAGAAGATTACAGAGTATTTTAGGTATATAAAAGGTAATAAAGAGGAAAGAGTGGACATTGAATTGAAGGAAGATGAATTTGGGCAAGTAGTAATGGAGGACAAAGAAATGGTGTAGGAGCTGAATATGTACTTTGCATCAGTCTTCATGGCTGAAGACACCAGTAGCATGCCAGAACTTCGAGAGTTAAGAAGCTGAGGTGACTGTAATGGCCATGACTAAGGAGAAGGTCCTAGGGAAGCTGAAAGGTCTAAAGGTGGATAAATCACCCAGACCAGATGGAATACTCCCCAGAGTTCAGAAGGAAATAGCTGAGGAGATTGTGGAGGCATTAGTAGTGATCTTTTCAGGAATCACTGGAGTCAGGAACGGTCCCAGAGGACTGGAAACTGGCTAATGTTACACCCCTGTTTAAAAAGGGAGGGAGGCAGAAGTTGAGAGATTATAGACCAGTTAGCCTGACCTTGATCTTTAGTAAGATTTTAGAGTCCGTTATCAAAGATGAGAGTGTAGAGTACTTTGAAGTGCATCGTAAAATAGGACTGAGCCAGTATGGCTTTGTCAAGGGGGAGGTCATTCCTGACAATCTCCTGGAATTCTTTTGAGGAGGTAATGAACAAGTTAGACAAAGGAGAGCTAGTGGATATGATCTATTTGGATTTCCAAAATGCCTTTGACAAAGTGAAGCACAGAAGGCTGCTAAATAAGATATGAGCTCATGGTGTTAGGGGAAAGGCAGTGGCATGGATAGAGGATTGGGTGAATGGCAGAGACAGAGAATGGTGAGTAAAAGAGTCTTTCTTTAGGATGGCCGCTGGTGACTAATGGTGTTCTGCAAAGATCTGTGTCGGGACCATAACTATTCACATTATACATTAATGATCTGCATGAAGGAACTGTAGGCATCGTTGCTAAGTTTGCAGATGACATACAGATATGTGGAGGGACAGGTAGTGTTAAGGAGGTGAAGAGACTGCAAAAGGACTTGAATAGGCTAGGAGAGTGGGCAAGAGAGTATACTTGTTGGGAAAGTGTGAGGTCGTGCATTTTGACAGGAAGAATAGAAGCATAGACTATTTTTTTAAATGGGGAAAAACTTTGGAGATTTGAAGCTCAAAGGGACTCACGAGTTCTATTTCAGGATTCTCTTAAGATTAACATGCAGTTTCAGTTGGCAGTTAGGAAGGCAAAAGCAATGTTAGCATTCATTTTGAGAGGGCCAGAATTCAAAAGCAGACTTGTACTGTTGAGGCTGTATAAGGCTTTCGTTAGACCGTGTTTGGAATAATTGGTGAGTAGTTTTGGGCCCCGTATTGAGGAAGGATGTGCTGGTGTTGGAGGGAGTCCAGAGGAGGTTTGCAAGAATGGTCTTGGGAATGAAGGGCTTGTCTTGTTAAGAATGGTTGAGGACTCTGGGTCTGTACTGATGGAGTTTAGTAGGATGAGGGGAGAATCTGATTGAAACTTATCGAATACTGAGAGGCCTGGGTAGAGTGGATGTTGAAAAGATATTTCCACTAATAGGAGAGACTATGACCTGAGAGACACAACCTCCGAGTGAAGGGATGTCCCTTTAGAACCAGGATGAGGAGGAATTTCTTCAGCCAAAGGGTGGCGAATCCACAGAATTTATTGCCGCAAAGGGCTGTGGAAGGCCAAGTCATGAAGTGTCTTGATTGGTAAAGGGATCAAAGTCCACACAGAAGGCAGGAGGATGGAGTTGTGAAACATATCAGACATGATCAAACGGCAAAGCACAATTCAATGTTCTGAATGGCCTAATTCTGCTCCTGTATCTTACGATCTGTGAGAAAGATGCTGCAGTGAGATATAGATGGGTTGATGTGTAATAAAAACATTAATGGAATGCAACAAGGCAAAATGTGAAACTAGCCTGTATAGTAGGAAAACTAAAAAGACAGAATAATTTAAAGGAGAGAGACTGTGGAATATTTGCACTTAAGTGGGTGTTCTTACACATGAATCACAGAATGTTAACATACAGGTGCAGCAAACAATTAGGGAGGAGATTAAGTATGTCAGCTTCTGTTACAAAAGTTTCAGAGTGAGGAAGTCTTACTACAATTATGCCGGGTGTAGGAGAGATTAGACCTGCAATCCTGTGTGCAGCTTTGGTCTTTTTCCCTGAGAAAGAATATACTTGCCCTAGAAGGAGAACAAGGAAGATTCACAAGACCAATTCTGGGGATGAGGGGACTCTCCTGTGAGGAGAGATTTAACAGGTGAGGCTTTTATTTCCTGGAGTTTAGAAGAATGAAAGGTGATCTAATTGAAACACATGAAATTCTGAAAGGTTTGACAGCGTAGCAACCAACAATATGCTTCCCTTTGTCAGAAAATAAAGAAAGGTCATAGACTCAGAAAAGGGAGTCAGCTATTTATAACAGAAATTAGAAGAAATTTCTTCAGTCAAAGTGTTGTGAATTTTTGGAATTCTCTACCTCAGAGAATTGGGGTACTCCATCATTGATAATATCTGAGATAGAGAATAATAGATTTTTGGATACTGAAGGAATTAGGGCTTTGGGAATTGTATGGAAAGATGGAACTGAGGTAATATGGTAGCCATGGTCTTGTTCAATGGTGGAGCAGATTCGAAGGGCCAAATGGCCTGTTCTAGTTCCTATTTCATATCACCTTCTGTGACCTAGATCGACTGGAGCTCTTGAGAAAGGGGAAGAGAGGGCTGTCAGCAAATCATATGTTAGGAATCACTAAACCACGCGTGGGAGAGTAAACTTGCTAAGCTTAGAATATATTTAATTGGGATAAAGTGTGATTGAGAAGAAGTGTTGCCAAGAAATACCATAGGAAGTGTTCCACCAAAGTGATTTCAACAAGTGTATGACAGTCTGCATACAATATGCACTGTATTGGCAGGTAATAATGACCATATTGTCACATTTTCCACAAAAATATTGTAAAGCTCAGCACAGATGAAGAAAGATATTTGACCTTATACCATCCTTTCATAGAAACCAATGATTGTGACCTGCCTGTTTTCCATTTCCTACATTACAGCAGTGACTATGGGCTGATTTCTGATATCAGAAAAGTGTCGTTTTTATTGAGTTTCAGGGAGGACTTCTCTTGGGCAGGCCCCGTGAGTTTTCATACGCTATCAGCCTAAACTTACCTCATTCACTATGAACCTTGCCCTTATAGCGCCGTGCCCAACCTATCCTCCCACTCACCATCGGGGAAGTACTCATTACAGCCAGGGTGTCCCAGGATTCCAAGTGCTGGTGCCATCTTTCAAAGGCTTTTGTGTACTCTGCCAAACACTGGCAGCCTGGTGATGCCCTGCACGGTTTGGGCCATTTACCCGCGATATGGCGGATAAGAAAACTTTGGTGTTCCACTTCTGTGGGCCGGGTCCTAGAGGACCTGGTGGATGGGGTGGTGTAGAGAAAGGGCAGTCTCCCAGGCCCCCAGGGTTGGTAGAGGAAACAATGACAACAGACTCTGCCAGCTTGGATCTGAAGTTGCCACTCGAGTCAGTGTGGTCTCCACAGTCTGGATAAAGATGCAGTCAATGCCATAGGAATGTCAATGACCATTTTGCCAGGGTAAGTGCCACCATCTTCTCTCTGCTACCTCACACTCACTCTAACTCTGCCACTGCACCCATCTCCCCATAAGTTTCATGCTGTACTGCCTGCAACATCTTCACTCACTGGCTCTCACCCACCCTAAACCCCTCCCCCTGCATTGCTTCAGTGCAGCCTATTCACTGCCTTGGGACAGCTCTTATGCCCACGAGCACCAGCACTAACAGCTGTCCCACTCACTTTCATCTCCCTCAACCCCTCCCGTTCTCTCATTTCAGGAGAAATCTGCCCATGACAGGGCTGAAAGAATCCAGGCAGGCGGTATGATGACCAACTTCCCGCACCCCCTATAAGTGTAGGATCTTGGCCCTTGCCAGCAATAACAGCACTAGTCTAGTGGAGATACAGAAACATCCATGTCTGGCGGAGGAAGAAATATTCCAGCATTCAGAGGACTGCTGGAGAGCAGGCACCTGCTCAGCCCCAAGCACAAGAGGACCCCACGGTGTTGCCAGTTTGTGACATCACTGAGATGCGCAGGCAGGTTTGTCAGGGGCGCTGGGCAACCTGACACAAAGGCTGCAGGACTGCAGCAACACTGTTAGGACCCTACTCCCTCAGGCTGATCTCTCATTACAGAGAGACGACTGTGCCTGTGTTAAAGAGCAAGGCAAGACAGGAGTGCTGTGAGAATTTAAGGTGAAGCTGAGGGGGCAAGGTTCAATTTGGAAAGGCAGGAATCAAAGTAGGTGCAAAGCACTAAAAGAGCAAGCAGGCAAGGATCTCTGAGAGGCACAGTGGTCTAAACCATGAGCTGGATCCCCGTCTCTGCACACAAAGCATCCTTCCAGCAGCATTGCAATAAGAGATACTGGTGTGTTCTGAAGTACGGCATTGAACTGCAGATCAGTGGTCAGAGTTGTGCAATGATGATGAGATGAGGCTGGTATGTGTTAGATGGCGAGGTCCATTGACATGGGATGCTTGTGGTCACGGCCCATGGAGTCTACATTGAGCAGCTGATGTTGAGTGTTTTCCAAGATGGGGGTCCAGAGGAGCAATCGGGAAGCTGGAGTTGCCAGGTAACGGCTCTGACTTTCATGTCAGGAATTCTCAGCATCTGGACTCTATCTGGCAGATTGGAGCAGGGGGAGACTGCATATTAATGAGGTGACATTAAGTAATAATGAGGCTGTTAATGAGAGATAATGCATGCAAATAGGCCTCTCATCACTCACTAATGAGAATCTTAGCTCATTGTTCAACACTTGCTTGGAAAATAAGCCATTTGTCTGTCCATGTCAAGAAGGTGCTCGTGTGACATCTCTCCCTATTTTCTCAACTTTCTAACCATGGGCATGCCATGTAGGGGCATGGAAAATCCTGATGCTTCACAGGAACTTCAGCTGTTGTAAATTTCTTTGATTATCGTGAGCTTGTGAGGTACTGTCGAAATATTACTTCTTTTTTTCTCTTCTGCTTATCCTCTTGTCAATTTATCTTGTGAATGATTGCAGAGGTTTTGACTCCCAATCTTTCTGGAGACCATCTCAAAGTACAAGTGATTTATCGTTTAAACAATTGCTTTCATATATCAGTCTTGACCGTTCCTTTACCCATGTGGCTGTGTGCCATTATCATGGTTTTGACTGTTCGAACAGAGAGAAAAACATTTACGTTGTTCTGTCATTGTGTTGCTTTTCCTTGGTTAACTTACTGCCTCCATGATATATGTTGTTGTTTTGTGTGTTGGCAGGTTTGCCAGCGATGGTGCCTGCTTGGGGCCTTGGATTCCATCTCTGCCGCTGGGGATATGGGTCAAGTAATGCCACTTGGGAGATGGTGAAACAGATGAGAAAAGCTGGCATACCCCAGGTTCATAAAATTAAGTTCTTTGCCTGTCAACTCTGATACGTGATAAGTAATGTGTTGGAAGGGGCAAGAGGCACACTTTTGTGGGCTGGGAGGGATGTTGCCCTGGATGAAAGGCACATTGTGTTGGGTGTGAGGCGTGTTTCACTTTGGGCTTGGAAGCTAAATTGATTGCCTGCAGTCACTGACGGTTTGAGAGTTTGGCATTTTGCTCGAGTAAATAATCATAGGGCTATTTAAGCTGCTTTCTGACGAACTGGTTACCGGGACTGACTTTTCTAGTGCAACAGTCTCCTTTCCCTTTTCCTACAGGATGCTCAGTGGAATGATATTGATTACATGATGGATTATCGGGATTTTACCTTCGACCCTCAGAACTTTGCCACCCTTCCTCAGATGGTTGCAGACCTGCACTCCCATGGACAGCAATATGTCATGATTGTGGTAATTGCCAGCAGCCAATGTAACCTGCAGAACACTGCTGCAGTTTAGTGGGACTTCAGGTTCACAAGTAGGTTAACAAGGGATGCAAGATGCATAGCAACACCACCAATTGTATGTTCCCTCCAAGTCACACACCATCTGACTTGGAACAACATTGCTGTCCCTTCCCTATTGGTGGGTCATAATTCTGGAATTCACAGCATTGTGGATGTGGGACTGCTATGGTTCAAGAAGGTGGCTCATCTTCTCCCCTTCGGAGAAGCAATAAAAGTCAGCAACACTCGCGACCCAAAAAAAAATTGATAAAATTAATACCCTGTGCCTGGAAACAAGAAGCTCCTTGTTGTATCAAATGTCTTAAAAGGCTAACCAAACCTCTGGGTTTGTAAGCAGATACCGTCTGTTTCTGTTTCTGTGATATTGATCCGGGGTATTGATTTTGTAGAGAATTCGAGAGGTGCCCAACTCTGAGTTAAAAACGTTTCTATTCGTCTCTGACCTAAGTGGCATCCCCCTTTTGGTTTTAAATTGTAACCCCTTGTTCTAAACTCTCCAACCAAGGGAAATATCTCATCTGCATCCCTATAAGTATTTTGGAAGGTGTCAATGAGATCACCTCTGATTGTTGGAGACTCTAAACAATGCAGTCCCAGTTTGCCCAATTTCTCTTCATATGACAGTCCCACCATTCTGAGAACGAGGCTGGTGGACCTTTGTATGGCAATAATATCTGAGATAAGGAGACCAAAATAGCACACAGTACTTCGAGTGTGATCTATTCAATTGAAGAAAGGCTTCACTACTCGTAGAATCATAGAATCTCTACAGTGTGGAAGCAGACTGTTTGTCCTGTAGAGTCCTCACTGACCTTTCGAAGAGCATCCCACCCAGACAGACCCCCATCCTATCCCTATAACACTGCATTTCCCATGGCTAATCCATCTAACCTACACATCACCGGACACTATGGGCAATTTAGAATGGCCAGTCTACTTAACCTGCACATCTTTGGACTGTGGGAGGAAACTGGAGCACCCCCTCATGTATTCAAATCATCTTGTAATAAAGGCTAACATTGCATTAGCTTCCTAATAGGTCACTGCCCCTGTATGTATCTGTTTTCTATTGTGTTTTGCAGGACCCAGCAATCAGCAGTGTTCAGCCACCAGGTTCTTACTGGCCATATGATGAAGGCCTAAAGCAAGGAGTTTTCATCAACAATGTGTCTGGAAGCCCTCTGATCGGAAAGGTATAGATGCTGTTATAGCCTGTCTGGTTACTAAACATTGGAATAATTGTTTCATTGTAGGACTGCCTATCGAGGCAAGTCACCCGGAAATCTTTCATCTGTAGGTGCCTTCAATTTATTTCCAAGCACATACTGTCAAAGTATTGCTGGCATCACATTCTGGGTGTTGGATCTGTTCTTGGGTGCTGTTGAGTTGGATTTACCAAAGTACATGGAGACAGGAGAAAGGGGGCAAGGATAGTCCTAAAATTATTATTCATCACAAATTGCTGAACCGAAAAAAAAAGGCAAAGAACTCCCCTAATAATTCAGCATTTAAATACATTTTTATTGTGCTTCAATCAAAGAGTGTGTCACAATGGTATCTGTATTCCTTAGAGTTATTGATTTCAAATAATTGTATTTGGGAGCACAGTAGGAGGAGCATTTCAACAGCCAGGAAAAGTAATGGCCTATTGGTCCCATTTACACAGAGTTCGGCTTGGCAGGTTGAAGGGTGAGGATATGGTGGTGGGGCAATGTAGAGGAGAAAGAGTCAAACCTGTGGGTGGTCTTGGAGTCTTAAACTATTGATAGGTGGAAACAGAATGGAAGCATTCCCTCAAGGCCCCGTTGGCAGACTCCTAAAGGATTGGCACTGGGACTCGGGGGTGATGACTCATCCCCCAAATTACTCACTGATTGAAAGTAACTTTGGTGCTAGCATTTCCAAAAGTTGAATGTTGGTTAAATGAATTCCTCCTGGATAGAGAGTAACAATGATCCCAATTGGAATTGTTTGAAATGTATCTTTACCAGACAGACAGTTGGATTTAATAAGATTTTCTTTGTTTCGTTACGGGATGCAGGTTTGGCCTGGGTTGACGGCATTCCCTGACTTCACAAATCCCAACACGGACCAGTGGTGGTTCCAGAACTTGCTGCAGTTGCATAAAGCTGTGCCCTTCGATGGGCTCTGGATTGTAAGTGCCATTTTTATGAACAGGCCATTCAGCCCCTTGGATTCGTTTCTTCATTCAGCTAAATTGTGACTGATCTGTGTCATAACTCCATTCACCTGCCTTTGCTCCACATCAATTATAAATTCACTCAACAAAATCAATCACTGTTACTCTTGAAAGTTTAAATTAATCTTCAATACCTACAGCCTTCTGAGGGAAAGAGTTTGAAATTTCTACCTTTTGTGTATGAAAGTGCTTCCTAACATTGCTCTTCAATGGCTTACCTCTTATTTTAAGACAGTTACTTTTTTTTTCTAGAATCCCTGACCAGAGAGAGTTTTTCTGTGTGCCGTAACCTGACCAAACTGTGTTTATTGCCATCTGTAGTGGCCTCAAGGGCATTAAGAACCATCAGCGTAGTGTGCAACTGGGTGTTAGGAGGGAATAGGTTCTCCTCCCTGAAGGGTATCAGTGAACCAGTTTGGGTTTTTAAAAATCCAGCAGCTTTTGCAGTCATTTATATCATGATTGAGGTTATGGACGGTGATATTTCAATGGCAGACTTCACACTGGCACTGACTCCGTGACAATGAGCTGAGTAAATTTTACTCCCTTTGTGCAGGAGGGAAAACTGCTGTAAGTGATAGTTGGTGATGCAACGTCAATTTGCATGTGGGCTCTGGTGTTGGGGCTGTGATGCTGTCCTGAAATAAACATTCGCCTGATGCTCACCTTTCATTTTTGTACCACCACTAATGTGGTAAAATATCCCAAAATATTTCATGGGATTATTATCAAACAAAATCTTGACTCTGAACAAATACAGAAATACGTTAAGGCAGATTACAGAAAGTTCAATCAAAGAAGCAGATTTTAGTAGCATTTTAAAAGAAGGATAGAGATGCAGAGAGATGAAGTGATTACCAAAGGGAATTGCAGATGTTTGAGTTGGAGCAGTTAAGGTCATGGTCACCAGTGGTGCAGAGATCTGTAAAAAGCCAAAAGAGGGCTGAGGATTACAGACTTGAAGGATGGAACAGAGCTAGGGAGGAGCAAGGCTGTGCCAGAACACACATACAAACTCTTCAAATGTACAGTTGAACGCTGTGGACACTGTGGGAAATGTACTCCATACACTCCAATACCAAGTGTCTGCTAATGAATACAAGAATGGAAAAAAAACATTGCAAGCCTGAAGTGTGGAACATTGAGAGGTGATCTGATGGAAGTTTATAAAATAATGAGAGGCATAGATAGAGTTCATGGTAGTTGTCTTTTCCCTAGGATGAGGGATTTCAAGACGAGGGGGCACATTTTTAAGGTGAGAGGAGAAGAGATTTAAAATAAACATGAGAGGCAGAATTTTTTACATAGAGGGTGGTTTGCATGTGGAATGAACTTCCTGTGGAAGTGTGGTGGATGCAGATACAGTTACGATGTTTGAAAGACATTTGGATAGGTACATGAATAGGAAAGGTTTCGAGGCATATGAGCCAGGAGCAACCAGGTGGGACTAGGTTAGTTTGGGATTATGTTTGGCATGGACTGGTTGGACTGAAGGGTCTGTTTCCATGCTGTATGACTCTATGACTCAGGCTGGGGTCTTGCTTTATTTTGTAATTTGAACAGGAAAAGGTTCACAACTATTTAGTGCCATTTTCCCCTCTGCGAATGTAAGGTCAAATACAGAGAAAGGCAGTCCATTTGTGTCCTTTTATGATGATGCTAATATCGTCTTTGTGCCATTTCTTGTCCTTTAACTGCAACAATGATTTTCATTTTTGGATAGAACTTAAAGCAAAGATCATTTGATCCAACTGGACTATGCCAGTGTTCTGCTCCTTATGAACCTCTTCTCACTTTACTTCCTCTTATCCAATCAATATATCCTGGATGTGCCTGTTTAGATCCCTCAAATACATCTCTGCTTTTCACCTCAGCCCCTCCATGTGGTAGAGATAAAAACAGAAATTGCTGAAAACACTCAACAGCTCTGGTAGCATCAGCAAGAGAGAGGGACAAGAGATAATGTTTCAGGTCCATGACGTCTTATCAGAGCATAGAGTTAGAGATGAAATGGGCTTTGAGCAGGTGAAAGGTGAGAAGGTGGGGAAGAAGAACAACCGGGAAATCTTCGATGAATTGGTGGAAAAGCTAAATCTCGAAAAGCTTCATGGTGCAAAGCCAAAGGGATTGGTAATGAGACAAGTTTTTAAAAAACAAAGGATTTATCTGGAGTGGGTGTGAATGGCATGATCCTGAATAGCTGTTATTTATTCTAACCACACTCCAACTAAAGGCATTTCTATCTGGCTTTTTAATGACTCTCTTATATTTATGGCATTAGGTTTGGACTCGGGCAAAGTTAAACCATTTCTCCAGCAATTTGTGATTTTTTTTTTACCTCTATGTCTATCCTATTGACTCTGTCATCATTTTAAAGACCTCTTTCAGGCCTTCCACCCCTCAACCTTCTTTCCTCTTCCTTCTGGCCTGTTCAATCTTTCCTGATAGATACAAGCCCTCAGTTCTGATAGTGTACTTGTCAATCACTTTTGCAAGCTCTCTCTGTACCTTTTTTTTTGTAATAGCAAACCTGAAATCTGAATGGTAACTCCAAATGAAGTCTAACCAAGTTTATAATGTATTCTAAGACTTTTCAATTCTACTCAATTTTGAAGTTAACCTTATCTTAATTTTTTAACACTCATCGTTCTGGAATGTTCTAGGATATGAATGAGCCCTCAAGCTTTGTGGATGGATCAGAGACTGGTTGTCCTTCGAATGAGCTTGAAAATCCACCATTCATTCCAGGTGATAAATGAGTCGCTGGTGTGAATAGAGAGAGGAATAGGAGTGGGATATCACATAATTCCCTCTAATCTAGAAAATGGGATACCACAATATTCAGTCTGAGCTAGTATCTAAATATAAGTCATGTTGCTAATTTTAATGCGGGCATTGTAAATAATTTTACATTTCTAGAGTTAATCCACATGAATGATGAGAATCCTCAGTAGAGAAGTGAGAGTCAGCAGTGAAAGAGAGAGTCAGGAGAGAACAGTTGGCAGGAGAGGCAAGAGCGAGGCAAAGGATACAAAGCAAAGAAGAGAATCGTGAGTTGGGGTAGAGAGTCCAGTAGGATGGGCCTTGAGTTGAGAGTAGAGCCCTTGGTGAGGGAGTGAGTCAGGAATGAGGAGTGCCTCCCTAGTGAGGGGAACATCGGAGCTGAGGGTGACAGATGGCCATGGAGAGGAAAGTCAAGAGTGAGGGCATGTTTCTTGTCTGCCCTTTATAACTTGTCCCCATTTTGGATTTTTTTTCTGTCAGGTGTGTTGGGTGGCACTTTACGCAGTCAAACCATTTGTGCCTCAGCAAAACAAAGTGCATCAACGCACTATAATGTACACAGTCTGTATGGGCTCATGGAGGCCAAAGCCTCTGCAAGGTGAGTAAACTTTCTCTCAATCCACAGAAATGTGTGTTAAGCCTTTGGGAATCTCATTGAACAAGTTGTTGTACCATTTCTCCCTTCTTTCCCATAATGCATTGAGTGCATGTGGTTTGGCAGTGAGAGTGTGGGAAGGAAGAACTTTGTGAATCTGTCTACCAATGATGAGAGTTGTCGGTCAGAGTAAATCACTGCCTTGAGGAGTAGCCTGCAGATTTACCATAGCTATCCAAAAAAGCTTGGCAAGTCGCATTACATTTGACTATGGCAAATTTTACAAAGCTCTCTGCAAGACCACTGGACTGAGGATAGTGAAGAGAAGAGGTGATATGTTAAACTCCCTATTTCCTGCACATGCCTTGGAAGAGTGGAGTAGTTTACTGAGGACTATTGTCAGACACCATTTATTGTGGAACACCGAACACACTGCATATTGCAGTCATTATATTGCATTGGGGAATCTTTGATTTGACTGACAAAAGGGAATTTAATAAAATAGTCAGTCACCAGAATGCAATTGCGTCCTTGGTCATGGAAAATATCAGTGGCAATCTTGCACCACAGCACAGAAGGAACCTTGTGTAGGATGAGAGGTGAATGCAATTTTTGAGGATGCTGCAGTTGACACATTTCACATGACCTGATTGCTTGATTGATGTCCTTTATGTTGGGCAAAAGAAATGGATTCACATGTCAGAGATCGTAGATTCTGAGATAAGAAGGTGTAGGGCTGGATG